CGTAACACATCCTATAACTCAAATACAACGTAAGAGAGGATGCAAACAAGATAATAAACAACTACCAACATCCACGGACACATGTCCGGATCACGGTATAACAAGGGTAAACCCGGGATCGCTATATGTCCCCTTTATGTACAGTATTCCGGACTTGAGTTCCATGATTGAGTATTGTTGTGTATGTCTCGTTCCGTCCTTTAATTCGTTGTATGTGAGTTTTAGGATCTGTTGGGCAGGTTTGTAACAGGTTGGTTGTGATTAGAAACAAATGGTTACTGCCCAGTTTTTGGTGTCTTCGCTCGAGCAAGGCTTTTGTCGCTCGAGCGAGCTCCGTGTTTTAGTTCATTCGCTCGAGCCAGGGTTTTTTTGCTCGAGCGAGAGTTGGGTGGTGTGTCTGCTGGCTCGAGCGAGAAGTCTTGCGCTTGAGCTTGCGTCTGCGTCTAGTTTGGACCTGAAGGGTGCATTTCTTGGCTCGAGCGAGCTTTTCTTCGCTCGAGCGTGCTTTTCTTCGCTCGAGCGTGCTTCTGGGTTGCAAACCTGAAGCTTCGCATGGTTGGCTCGAGCGAGGCTTTCTGCGCTTGAGCAAGGTTTCTTTGTGTCTGGTCGCTCGAGCAACCATTCCTTCACTCGAGCGAGCCTCGAATATATCAGTTCGCAGCAGCAGCAGCTTCTTCTTCACTTTTTCATCATCTCTTTTAAACAAACCCAGATCGGCTGCTCCCTCTCTCTCTACATACCTTCACTCTACAAATCCATCTAGTTCTAGTGGTCTCCTACCCTAGTTCCTTTGTAAAAAGTGTGGAGCTTGGCGTGGCATTCGTTTTGATCTGAAAATCATTGGGTTTGGAGCATCTCGAGTTTTCTCCATCTTCTCCATTTGGCCTCTCCATTTGAGGTAGGGATACCCTACTCCTTCTTATGGGTTTTGACATAAATTTTAGTCATTTTGATTAGTTGGTGAATTATAGTAATTTTGGAATAAAAGTGGGGTTTGTGTTGAAATTATAAAAAAAATGGGATTTTGTGTTTTAAAGCTCCATGTGCACATAAGGCCTTGGGAATGGGGTTTGTGAGTCGAATTGGTGGAATTTGGTCTTGGGATCAATATTTGAAAAAGGGGGAAAATGCCCTAATTATGTTGAATAATTAAGTTGAATAATCAATTTGGGAAATTATGAAATTTAGTTGGAAATCATGAAATTGGGAAAATTATGAGATTGAATGGTGTAGTTGGATTGATAAATCACTCACCTATGAGAAGTTGTTAATTTATCTATTTGATGAATTTATTATCTGTTTAGAAATAACTGCTTTGAGCTATCGGTGGAGGATAGTCTTGCTTGTTGTAGACACTGTATGTTGATTAGGAAAAACTGAAACTAATCAAATGGGTTATGTCATTGTATATGACAGTTGGAATAATACATTGAATATGTGTATTGATTGATTATGATATATGATAACCGTTTAAATACATTGCATATGTATATTGTTTGGGAGGAGAAAATGGATGTACTCCATGGTTTGGGAGGAGATAGGGGATGTACTCTCAAACCTGTTCGGAAGGAGATAGGGGATGGACTCCATTGATTACTAAGTTGGCTGGAGTGTCCAGGGTGAAAGTCCTGAAATCCTAATTACGTTTGCATAATGTAGATAATTGAAGTATTGGAAGTGTTTTTGATATGAGTTGTAGTCTCATTTACTTGTTTGGCTAGATAATGAGCCATGTTTATAAATTTGAATTGGAAGTAAAGGAAGGTGTAATGAAACATGAACGTATTTGTCATGGAACTGGAAAGTGTTATAAGTTGGTTTACAAGTGTTAATCATCTATCGAATGCTAATGTTTTAGTTATTTCTCATATTTGGTTTAGTATATCTCTACTGGGCATTGGCTCACCCTTTATGGGACATCATTTTTAGGTACAGATGGTATGCTACCTCCAAGGACGTAGCTTGGGAGGCTTATAGGCTGAAGGATCTTTTTGTTGTTATTTGTTTGTATTATATGTAAATCAAGCCAAGGGCTTATTTTGTATAAAGAGTTAGAACTCTTCTTTTGTTGAACCCAAGTGTTGACTTGGAAAGTTGTAGGCCCGTAGGGCATTTACTTTTGTTGTCAACATGTAATACTTTTGTACTTAACACTCTGATGTATGGAATATGTTTATGGATTTATTTTGAGGGCGTTACAGTTTCAATTTAGCTCTTCTGTCTATATTTTTGTTAATTTTGTCAACGTCTCTACACTTTAGAAAATTGACAAGTATCTAAAAATTATTAGTTTTAACCTTCAATTTTGACCAAAAAATCCAAATTGAAACCTTAGAAATTAACAAGTGCCTAAAATTTTTAATTTATTCCGTCTACGTGTACACTTTAAAAAATTGATAAATGTCTCAAAATTGTTTTTTTAACCTCCACTTTAGATGGAAGAACCAAAGCAATACATTAAAAATTGACAAATGTCCCAAAATTATTAATTTTAACCTCTAATTTAGACCCAAAAAAACTAGACTTAAAGTGTATAGACCAAATTATGCAAATTAAAATTATAGGTACTAAAGTGAAATTTAAGTCAAACTGCATGTGTAAAAAGTGTAATTAACCCTATATTTTATATTGAATTAGAAAAAAGATTAAGAGCTCTAAATTAAGAGCTGTAATAGCTCTGATTGGTGTTTGAGTCCCATGTGATGTGATGTTTTGGCCTTAGATTTTTTTTTTTTTTTGATTTTCCACATCATTAGTGCTCTTTTAGAGCTCCCAAATTAGAGGGATGTATCATTTTTATATTAAATTATTGTCTAAAAATTTATACATACTAGAGGGAATAAACAAAAACAAAGAAGAATATGTATATATAAACATAAACCATACATATATATTAGGATAAATTCCACTTTGTCCTTTTATGTTTGGTTATTTTCTCTGTTTGGCCCTTGAAGTTTGGGTTTTTCCACTTTGGTCCTTCACATTTTAAATTTTTCTCAATTTGCTCCTAAAGCTGATTTCTGTTCAAAACCAGATAGAAAATGTTATATTAACTCCCACACAACATAAAAATATACTATTATATTAATATTTGAATTTGTATCGGAGGTGAATTATATATAATAAAATATTTTTATATTACGTGACTATCAATATATCATTTTTTGACTAATTTCAAACATAATTTCGCTTTTAAAGTAAATTAGAAAAAACTTAAAACATGAAGAGTCAAATTGGGAAAAAATAAATTTTAAGGGCCAACATGAAAAAATAACTAAACAAGTAAATTACAGTTTGCACCCCTATACTTTGCACCAAATCTCACTTTGCCCATACACATGAAATCATGACAATCAACTCCTATACTTATGGTCAAATCCCACTTTGGTCCCTACACATGAAATCGTGGCAGTCAACCCCTTTTACTTTTGGTCAAATCTCACTTTGGTCCCTATAAAAGTGTCGATACCCTCGTTTTGTTACTCAATTGTTTAAATCTTCAACAAAATTTAATCATGTGATAAGAATGTGACTACAACATGAGAATAAGAAAGGAAAATCATCTACATTTTCCACCAATACACACTTTATCCCAAAATTTACATCAAAATATAACTGTATTAGGCTAAAATAAAATGTAGATTGTGAATAATTAAGAAGAGGAACTAGGATTTTGCATAAATTAGAATCTCGAAACTCTGTTTTTCACGGTAACATAGTCTTTTATTTATTCATCTTTCTTTCTCTTTAATTTCTTTGTCGTATTTTTTATTTATTTATTTCAAAAGCCCTATTTTCTTGCATTTTCATCCCAATTTTTACAATATGAACATGTATATATTGTATTATATAACTCTTATGTGCTTATCGCATAAGTGTCACGACCTAAACCTGTCCCTATAGGTTTAGCGTCGTAACCGGCTAGTAATCCGTAATTACCGAAGGCTTGTTTAACAGTACTGACAATAATACAATATAACGAGGCTGGCGGAAACCAATCAATAACAACATACATCGTCCAATGAACTGTGAGAACCTAAATGGAGATAAACTTTCATGTACATAGCCATATTCATAACCATTTATGCCCATAAGCATATATATACAAGACAAAACATAAGTTAGGGAATCAATCCCATCATCTGGAACAGTATTGGCATTAGTCTTAAAACATTCTTTTCACTTAACAAACTCAAAAAGGTGAAGTCGAGCCACCAAAAAACACCTTGACACATGCTAGTTCAAAACCTCGCAATGAGGGACAATAGCTGGCTTGACAAAACAAGGGTTCGGGTCGACGCCTCTAACTTTGATCTGGTGCCTGGCCACCTGCATATATATATATAATAAACTGTGAGATAAAACCCAGTGAATAACAAATGTGTAAAAAGGTTAAGAATGATGTCCTTTACAGTCTTCGAAACAATCGATTAGCATTAGAACACTTCAATCACTATCATTTGTCAATCAATCATTCAATTCAATCGATTCAATCAATCTTATTCTTATAGGTCATACGTGGTACATCCAATAGCAACAATATACTAGGTTTTAAAAGACCGAACAATCAATTGATGGCCATCAAACAATAACACTAGTTCCAAGATTTGGAACTGACAGAGATCTCTGTAACAATAGCAATATCAATAACAATAACAATAACGATAACACTACGCTATGGATGCCACGAATACAATTCAAAAGAGGATCGTCATTCAATCGATAGAAAGTAACCGTTCAAAAACAATATAATTTATCATTCAGAAAATAAATACAATTTGAACATATCTTTACAACATTGTTACTCACAGTGGGCACCTCGGTACACGTACTAATGGTTCGGCGTCCGACCTAAACAAATAAAGTCAAGCACAACACAATTACAATTACACTCTACAATCGATTTAATTCGGTTACTTGTTTGTCTTTCGGTTTCTCTCATTTGATTCTAATTTTTCCTTCGGTTATTCCTATTTATTTTTCTCCATATCAAACCCAATTTCAAACCCATAAATTTTAAAACATGAATTAAACTTTCAAAACTCTTGGAAAATTCATGATGCATGTACAATTGAAATTCTAATTTAATTTCTGCAATTTGAATTTAATTCAATTCCTTCACCCTTTTACTAGTTTCTTTGAGATTACATAAAATCGATTCTTAATTCTTTTCTATTTTCCTTTAAATCGTGAAATTGGAGTTATGAAACTTTACATGTATGAAATTAAGATCAAAACTAAATAATTTTAATTAGAATAGCTCTAATTTGGATTATTATTAATTTTCTTCACATCAAATTCAAATTCAAATCCATAAACCATTTAAATATGAATTAAAATCTCAAAATATAGCGACCCCGGTCTTTTCCCATTTGATTATTGTATCCGGACTTAGGTTCCGTAGATTCTGTCATTTTATAATTGTTGTTGTTGTTGTTGTCCCTTATTTTCTCATTTGGAATTATGGGATGTGTTGGGCAGGTTTGTTTCAGGTTGGTTGGGTTTAGAAACCAAGTGTTGCTGTCCAGAATTTTGGATCTTAGCTCGAGCGAGGAGTTAGTCGCTCGAGCGAGATGTTGTTTTGGTTCTTCGCTCGAGCCGGGGTTTGGTAGCTCGAGCGAGAGGAAGGATTGGAGCCT